GGGAGAGAGTTTGAAAATAGACTGTTACATCACCCTGGAGGAGCGGTCTGGCATTAGAGGGTCGCACACCAGTCCCTATCACCTCCAAAGGAATGGGCAGACCGAAAGGTTTAACAGGACCCTTCTCTCGATGCTAAGGACACTAACAGAAGAACAGAAAACGGACTGGAAAAAACACCTTCCCAAAGTCATTCATGCTTAACAACTGTACTGTTAATGAGGCTATGGGCTACTCTCCTTTTTTCTTACCGTTTGGTAGATCACCAAGACTGCCCGTGGATCTTCTGTTTGGCATTGAACAGGAGAACCCCGGCCCATACCAGGACTATGTGGAGAGGGGGAGATGAAGGATGGCTTAAGCCTATAGCATTGCCACCAGAAATGCAGGCAAATCCACTGACTGAGGCAAGACACAGTATGACAAATGAGTTCACGGCCCACCACTGCAGTTAGGGAGTCGGGTGCTAGTGAGGAATGTTTCTGAGAGGGGAGGGCCAGGCAAGATTAATTCCTATTGGGAAGATAACATCTATGTAATCAAAAGTCAAAAGAGTGGGGACAGTCCTGTGTTTGAATTGGAGCCAGAAAGAGGTAAAGGCAGGACAAGAGTTTTGCATAGAAACATGTTACTGCCCTGTGACTTCCTTCCACTTACACCAGATGAAGATAAGACCGGGACAAAAACGGCAGAAAAGCAAATGGACAAACTGTACAAGACACAGGTGACACAGGAACAGAAAGAGGATAATGAGGAGGAGTCAGATGAGTATTTGTCAGATGTTGTTTTCACTTGGCCCACCTCTGAGCCTAACTCCACACCTGCACTGGACCCTACTGCAGCCTAGTTTGTCCCACAGGTGGACAGGGAACTCTCAGTGCAATATGAGCCTTTCCAAGTGACCGTGGATGCGCAGGAGAAGCCCATCCAAGTTCATGATGGTGTGGAGGATGTGGACACTGAGAATGCAGTGGACGAGAAAAATGCCTCTGATTTGGAATCTGCTGAGGGAACAGAGCACATGAGGTCATACCCAAAAAGGCAAAGGTGGAAACCACAAACTTTGACTTTTGATGCACTGGGTCAACCTAGTTTCACAGGGAGAACGGTTGCTACAAAATGTCTAAGTATTAGTGGTTACTGGTGGCCCTGGTAAATTGTAATTAAATGTGGACAACATACCCCCCCTCCTACAGATTGTAACAAATGTGCCTTGGGATAATTCAGGTGACATGTATTGAGGGCCGCCTCTGGGTCTATGTGGTGTGGGGGTATTGCTTATGTGTTTGGTTATGGGAAAAGAGAAACACCCGGGTACAAAAGTTAAATCGGTTTGGTTGATTACATGCATTGGACTGGTAAACGGTAAACTGTCTGTCAGATACTCAATTACAGTGCACGGTAGTTTGGGTAACTTCCTTATAAGGTTGTAACCCTGTGTATACAGTCCATTCCATTCCATTTTGTCCTTAAATTGTGGTTTAGGGGGTACATGGAAATGTCGGGACGACATCTGTTAAGTGGGGGAGAGTGTGGGAGACTGGGTCTTTGCCATCAGTCACTCAATTACAGTGCACGGTAGTTTGGGTAACTTGCTTATAAGGTTGTAACTTGCTTATAAGGTTGTAACCTGCTTATACAGTCCATTCCATTCCGTTTTGTCCTTAAATTGTGGTTTAGGTGGTACATTGAAATGTCGCGACAACATCTGTTAAGTGGGGGAGAGTGTGGGAGACTAAGTCTTTGCCAGGTTGTTGTTCAGAGGTAACCAGTTAATATTGTTTATTTGCAGGGGACCTGGTTCAAAAAAACAATTGGGTTATTGGTGTGCATATGTTAAGACACCCCACAATGTTTATTTTCTTTTATTATATTTTTTGTGCAAGTTCAAAGTCAAATGCGATAAGATACTGGCCGCTCCTGAACGCCTCTCAATGCAATATCCGGAGGTGCAGTAAAAGTGCTGGGACACACCTCCGGTTTCCGGTGTAGAGTTCTTTTTTGTCTGTTTGTCGTCCTATTTGTCTTCAAAATCTTCTTAATTTCATCATCTATCTCAGCATTTTGGCTGCTGCAGTAATTGCTTTCTTCATTTGCTTGGTGCATTTTTCAAAAAGCGAGATTTTATGTTACCTGTTTTTAGCATCTTGACTGGACTCAGTGTGTTAACCTGCTGCAACAATAACTTTAGTAAATAGTTACTAGATTGATAAAGCAAAATACAGTATAATCATCAAGATTTTAATGATCCCTGGTAGAAAATTCAGAAGCCACACTGAAACGACAGAGGTCGGCCGTCGTCACTGCAAAGTCTTTCACGTCATCTTGGTGTGTTTCTGCCCTTATTTGGTAACATAACTGTTAGCAAGTTGCCTTACCTTGAACCACGTGTGGCCTTCGTCTGTGCAGAACCATAACATTACTCCATAGTACAAAGTCCACGGTGCATACTAAGTGCTTTGTGATATAAAAGTTCATTTTTGAGGCCACGCATCCCAATTTGTCAGGGGAGCACTCGCATGTGCATGGGTCAAATAATTTCTTCTTTAGGGGCGTGGTCACTTTACTACGGTTAGCATCAATGCTACTAGCTTAAGAATAGCCAACTTTCTACCAAGCACCTCCTTGTTTTCGTCCTATTTGTCTTCAAAATCTTCTTAATTTCATCATCTATCTCAGCATTTTGGCTGCTGCAGTAATTGCTTTCTTCATTTGCTTGGTGCATTTTTCAAAAAGCGAGATTTTATGTTACCTGTTTGTAGCAAGTTAGGTTACTGAGCCCGCAATTACAATTAACTGGAACAGGTGCGGTGCAAATTAAACCATCTTTGTACACCAGTGCCACCGTGTGGCGAGGAGAGGAAAAGCACGAGGATGTGGCGGTCACTAAAACCACGGATCTATGCATAAAACACCAACACCAGGGCTCAAATTTTAAATGTATATACTTTTCGCTTTCCTGTCACTCTGCACACCGACAGGAATAAATTTCTGGTGGAAAATAGTTTTTATTTTGTTGAGCAGGGATAAAGTAACTGAAATGTAATATACCGAGTCTAAAAAACCACCCTGTAAAATATTCACCTGTGTGGAATCAAAGTGCTACATCCTCAAATGTAATTGTCTGATTGCAGACCATAACCCTGTTACAGACAAGGTTCAATGTTCTTTTATGCGATAAACTATCATGACATCTTATTTTCAGCCTGTAATGAAGATATTTTTACACCAAAGTGCAAACAGATAAGGATCTATTTTTAATTCAGCAGGTTAATAAGCTCTGCTCTCTTGTCCTAACATCAGGAACAACTTTCACTCACTTTATTCTATGAGTGAATTACTGTATTTTCCCACCCAAATGGTGACATTTGGAGTGAGAACTGAAGGTGACACAGGACAGGATGGGTAGGACTGAGATCTGGAGATATAAAACCAATGTCAAGAAGCAGCTAAAGCACTGGAGGGGGATGAGGAAGGAGGACATCTGCAAATGCAGGACTGATGGATAATTCCATTGTCATTATAGACAGCATCACCAAAATGAAAAATAAATCATTCAAACTTCAGAAGGCAATCAAATCAAGATAGATGCACAACGACATGATAGTGTATGTAATTTAATCTATAAAATTAAACTCACATTGCACCACACTGCATAACAGTATCAATACATCCTGAGAAACATCATGTCTGACAGAGCCCTCCACACGGGAAGGAAATCTGTTGATTTAATTGAGCTTCGTGAAAGATTGGAACTCCTGTTTCAAAGTACTCAGACAGGAGAAGGCTCAGTAGTAAGACAACATGCAGATAAAAATGTGTGTAAAAAAAAAAGTAGGTTGTAAGGTTACGTAAAAGCACCAGTACAGCATTTTTTTTTTTTAATATAGGCAGTTAATAAATCACAAAAAGTCAAGTGGAAATTTCTTTACAGAAAACATTTCATCTAAGTTCAAAAGTACAAATAGTTCAGATGATGCACAAACAGAATCACAGGCTTTCAAAAGATTTTGGATTCAATTCTAAATGTTTAATCATTAAAATTTTCCATCAACTCTTAATGTTTATCAAAGTGCACCAGATGTTCTATCTATGCTGGTGGACTGGAACCCATTTACACAAAACATACACACCTTCCGGTACGACCTGTACAGGGTTCCCATTCAGACTAAGGCTGCAGTGTCTAAATAACTGGATATATTCAGAAACCTGTTTATATTAAAGACAAACATATCAAACAAAAAACATAAAAAAAAATTTAAGTTAAATCACAGCACAGATGAGTCAAATGGACTTAATCTGTATTAAAGGATCGGTGGACATGCATGGTAGATTATTATATACAATAGAGTGAAGTAAAACACCTCTCACATCATATTCAGCCTTAATGGAATATGGATTAACATTTATTATTCACATTTGCCTGTTGATATTTATGTCTTTATTAATGATTTAGAAGACATCAAGATCACTGCCTCTTTGTTTTCAATGTTGTGGCTTTTTGAAGCACCTTTGCTTCTTTTTACAAAATGTTTGTCTCCGTTTCATGTACAGAAACATGGTAGTTACATCTAATGTCTTCATTTGTAAAACAGAGAGACTGGAGCAAGCAGGAATCTTTAGACTCAGCTTTCGTGGCGCATCTACACTTGCAGCAGCTGATCATTGCTGGAGCAGTTTTCATTTAAAGCTGGTGTATCCTGGTGAAGCCAAGTGAGCAGAGTCAGCTGACCCCACAGAACTGAAAGAGTATGTATGTAATGCTCTGTTATTGCCAGCCTTAATGCAGAAAGAGCACGGTGGAAATGTAAACTTTACCCAAGAAGGGCATATGTGTGTGGTTCTGGGATGACACATCTTACAGTTAAACCTACAAGGGTCCTTAATGCAATCAAATGTGTTCAATAGACAGGTTGCAACACTAGTTTTTGTGAGAAGAATATGTTTGCTGGACTGTGGTCTTTTGTTTGTATGTGTTTGTAGTGCCTTTTTTTTTTTTTAAATCTTTTGTGCTGGCACCACTGTCATCACACCACCCTCTGGAGGACGTAAAGAATGCCAATGCTGTCAATGGTGACGAAGGTGGAGAAGCTGGATGACACATGGATCCTTTTCAAAGTGCTCCCCTTTGGATAGAAGGTCTGCAGGGCCTCTCCTTTCTCCACATCCCACCACTGAATATGAGACACAGATAGAGACAGTTGGAAGGAATTAAACTCTTAAGAAACCTTACACCATTGTATCTGAGCAGGGTAAATAATGCCAATCCGAAGAATAAACTGTGTACAACTCTGTGATCTTGTCAGTAGAGAAAGAGACCAACTGTGCAAACCTGAAACACTGAAACTTTTTATATGATGTGTTAATGTATCGGCTCTACCAAAATTAAGAATCTGCCACTTTCACAGACTATGAGGAGCAGTTTGACCTTGTGAGAAATATGCTTATTGGTTTTCTTGCCAAGAGTTACGTGAGAAGACGGAGATCACTCTCACGTCCTTGTGATAAACATGTAGCTGGAACCAGCAGCCAGCTGGCTTGGCAAAAAGACAGGAAGCAGGGAACACAGCTAACCCGGCTCTGTCCAAAGCCTCTAAAGATCACAAAACAGGTTCTCTCTTGCTCGTTTTCTACAAAAACAAGCAAGAAGTTATTGTGTATGTGTGATTGCTTACCCCTTGTTTCCCGCTGCACTCTCATATTTTACTCACTGTATTTTTAAACTGTCATTGCATCTGCTTCAAATCAGGTCACAAAACATGACCTAGAGAACCCACCCCTGGAGGTACGAGTGTGAATTTCATGCCAATTGGAGGGTGTCTCAGATTTCAAACTGAGTTGTGTGCACTAGACCCTGAGACAATAACAGAGGAGAGAGACAGACTGAGAGCTTTACATTGCAAGACAAGAAGACCAGGATGAATTTAATAGTATAATATTACTAGTACACACTACTACACACACACACACACACACACACACACACACTCGCCACAGCAGCTTTTCTATGCGATTTCATTTAATCTCAGTTTAAAGTTGACATTTTTCACTGAAGCTCAGTCAATGAATCACAATCGTTTATAGGCATGAGTGATTTGTGCACGTATTTGCGTGTGTGTGCACATTCGTCTTCCAATAACTATCAATAACCATGATAACTTCACATCAAAACAAGAAATGGTTTCTCTTCCATCTAAATAAACGTTGGCATGAGTCAAACTGAAGCTTGAGTAGTGTAGTATGTTTCAGTTATAAAGCTTTACCTGCGAGGGTGTGTGTGTGTGTGTGTGTGTGTGTGTGTGTGTGTGTGTGTGTTTGGGAAGGATAGCAGGCTAACTTCTCTCTCAACAGACATGCAGACCCACAATGGTGACAGCAACAGGCCTCCAGCTTATAGCACAATCCAAACACACATAATCACACTTCCCATGCACACAAACAGTCCATTAATCACACAAACCCTTCAACAACATTAGGAGCCGATTTGCATATTCTTGATATGACACCGAAACAAAATGTCTTAGGTTTTCTTCATTTTCCCCAGATTATCATGCTACATACAGCTGACGTACTACCATGTAAGTGTAAACTTTCTCCTCTGCAACCATCATGAGACACACATACTTGCTTGTCTCAGAAGGGTAAACACACCAAAGGGTCTTATGAATCCGACCCAGTCACACAATACACGCATGACATCGGTTCCACTTTTAAACACTGATTGAACAGAACAGCAACATATATTCTTTTGTGAACAGATTATTCGTTATGAAAAGAGCCTGGATTGTTTTGTCCAGAGATGAAGCGAGAGACGTAGGGCTGGATGAAGAACGATAGACAACATAAAGGTGGGATCAATACGGAAGTGGAGAGATAAATCAAAGATACACTGTGCGGTTATCGAAGCAGGGAATGAGGCACTTGGTTGAAGTATAATTGCATCTGAATAGAAGGAAAGATGGCTGCCAGGTGCCAGAGCGCTGATAGCTCAAACAAAGAAATAATACTCAGATGCTTACACACACACACACACACACACAGGCATAAATACAGAAATAAACAGCCAAACAGATGAGGGAGAGAACAAGCAGAGCCAGAGAACGACGAGACTGAATCCGACAATAAACAAGAGCAGCAGATGGATGATGAAACTCCAAGACGAAACAGAAAATAAGAGGGAAAAGCACTCCATAACTCCAAATGGAGATCAACGAAGGACTCGCACTGAGATATGATGTACGGAGAAAAGAGTTGTTCAGAATAAATGTTTAGAAGAGTCCACTGTCTCTGTGGTGGGGTGGAGGGAGATGCATGGACAGAAAGTGTGAGAATGATGTTAGTATCAAAGTGAGACTAGATTTATTATTAAAGGGGGAAAAAATCTAGAAAATGTTGAAACATTTATAGCAGAGGATCGTGACTGGATGGCATGCATATTCATAGATTTGCATGAGAGAGGGACAAAAATAAGAACTCAGAGAAATGCAGACTAAACTTTCTTTAGTTTCAAAATGAAAACAAAAAAAAAGATACATGCAAGGAATGTCAAAGAAGACACAATTGTAGAAAGGTGCAACAAACAAAGGAACAAAAGATGATATAAACAGAAGAACACATTTATCACTAGTGGCACACAAGATAAGCTGGTTTCCATAAGAGTTTGTGTCTGTTACGAGAATGTACAGCGGTGTTTTGTGTGTGTCACCGAGTGCACATATCCTCAGAGCAGATGGCTGATGTGCTAATAAGGTTTGTGTCTGTTACGAGAATGTCCAGCAGTGTTTTGTGCGTGTCACCGAGTGCACATATCAGAGCAGATGGCTGATGTGCTAATAACACCATCACTGTGTGTCCATTGATTTATGGGGGGAGCTAATGATGCACGTACTGTAGGTGCTGAATGAAAACGCACAATATGTGCTTTTGTGAGTTGCTGTTGAAAGGAAAACACCTCCAGGTGTGTTTACTTTGTGTATTTGTGAGACCATCTTTCAAAACATCCAGCACAGCAGCTTCACTTTATTTTTATACCCGAGTTTGCTATTGCGATGTTGAGTTATTTATCGATGTTGTAATATCGCCCAGTCTTGTCAAGGGAGTTCAAAAAGCTTTGAAACAACTACACTGTGGACTGTAATTCATTCACTGTGTTTTATGACATGAGTAAAAAACAGAGCAGAAATAGGGGGTGTTGAGTATACACACATCTAGATCCAATGGCAATGTGATGATAAACAACAAGGGTCACTGAACCCTTATCTATAAAGCCATACTATTCTGCATGTTGAGATAGGCTCCCCTCAGTGTCACGCTCAAATACACATGGGTCTAAATCACATCTGGGGAGGCTGGAATTGCCACTGTGTGAGCAAGTAACCCCGATTCATTTCAGCTAACAGCAGAGAAGCAACAGATCTGCTCAGATGGGCCCTCACTGTTAGCCATGGTGAGGCTAAATAGGTTATTTGGGCTACCTGAGGGAAAGTCAGCATCACTTACATAACAGAAATACCTGTCCATGTGCACACAGTTACGTCTTTCAGAAGGAGTGGAGGTAAGTAATTCATCTTCCTTGAACAAAAATAGCTCAGACACAAAGTCCAGGGGGAAAGGTACAGTTTCTACGCTTTATAGAAATCATGAAAGCTCAACAGCCAGCAGGATGCACACAATGGATGAAGGCAGGGCAGCAGGGAGATTAAAGAAAGAGGGGATACCAGCTGGAGTAGATTCAGGCGATTTTGTAAGGCCACCTCCATTTCAGAAAGAAAAGCGAGGGATTTTGTGTGTGTGTGTGTGTGTGTGTGTGACCAGGCAAAGAGACTTGCGCAGAGGGAAACTGTGACACTGAAGTTGAATTATTCATCCAAGGTTCCGTCCACTGAAATATTAATGCTCAGACAATTCTCTGCACATCTCTCCTTCACACCTCTTTTTTCACTTTTTCTCTCCAACATTCCTATATTACCGCCACCAGCAACTCTTTGTTCATCACAGATGTGACTAGGAAAAAAACTAAAGCATGGAAAGGGAAATGAGTACAGCTTGTAAGGAGCAGGAAAACTGAAAGTGAAAATGTAGCTGCAACCAGCAGCTTAGTGGAAAGACTGGTAAGAGGGAAGAAACAGGTCTGGCTCTATCCACAGGTCACAAACACTATTTTATGGCAACAGTAGTTAATGGCTCCACTTCACACAAACGCACCAGAGAACAGAACTAGTTTATGACGAAAAATGTAAAAGAAAGAAGAAAAGACAAGACAATGAACAAGCTCGAGTGAGAAAGTCAGCCAGTGGTGTATCCATGTTCCCAGACATCCCCCAGCACCGTCTCCCTCCACCTCATCCTTCATCACTGACCTCACTCTCCACTGTGCCTCATTTTGTCTTGGTGTGATTCGCACACACCAAGGCCCTTCTCCTCCAGACAGACAATTAACCCTGGCTTAATGAGCAATGCAGGGGAAACAAACGGCTCCCAGAGACAGATAAATATTTCACCAGCATGTGTTTATAGCACAAGCCTGGCGACACGAGCACAGAAACCAGGCCATATTCATTCCAAGCTCAACTCTTTCAAAGTGCTTCACATACTGTACGTGAGAAGGAGAATGCAAACGCCAAAGCAGGAAGTCAAGGACGTCTGGAAAACGCTATCTATTGTGGATGCATCCTGACCACATGAAGAATGAGCCAACATCTAGCCTGAGAATTTTTTTTATAGTCCCTGGAATATATAAAGAGAAAACCATGAAAACACAATGACAGACTGTAAGAAAAAGCTGCAATTTCAGGAACTGTTTTGTATCTTATGAGTGTCTGTAGGTATTTTTAGAGGCAGGTCTGCTGTTACCCTTGAGCAGCACTGCAGGGTGCTCACTTCTGAAACAGCATGAAGAAAAATGATGAATGAAATTAAAACAGCAAATGCTGCCTGGACCAGCACAGTGGCCCATTTATATACATGTCCTCTCAGAAGACAGACAGCAGTTGTGATGTGTTATTTCAATCTTTGGACCAGTTTTGAAGGAGGTGGGGGTACGGGGAAATCAAAGAAACAGCTGAGGTGTGCAACTAGCCTGTTAACCAACACATTATAGCATTAATAACCAAGATGATCATGTGCCTACCCAAATGCAAAAGGTAAATCTGGAGTCAATCCATGTGAAAAACAG